ATGAGCGTGTATGTTTGGGGTAATATAAGGATTCTCCCAGACTGTATTGACTTCAGGTCACTTTGGTTTAATGTATGAAGAAGGAAAAGGAGGAGAACATTATAGAAAGAAAAACAAATTCCTCTGTGAAGTCGGAGCGGAGGAACGTAAAAGCGTAACTAAACTGCGAGAAGCCATTTGGTAGGTTTATTAGCTTTATCACACTTATAATGTTTACATGTTTATTGATGGGCCTATTCAAATTGCAGCGAAATTGCAACGCCATATTCGTTTTTGCGGTATGCGGTATTTTCGATTTTTTCATGCGGTAATGCGGTAATGTGGGATTTTTGATTTTTTTGCGGTATTGCGGTATTCAGAGCCCCCCAATGTCCCCCTCAAACTACACTAAAAAGTTTTTAGGATTTTTAGATAGTGAAGGTCCAAGAGTTTATTTCTTGCAAAGGGTGCTATTTCTGAATTTTATCGATATATAAACTTCAAATCTACGTATTTAATATGTCTACGAGTAGAGAATAATTATTCTTAAATGATATGCGCCGCCTCGCTCCGCCTACGTTTATTGAACTCCTTCGACATTTGAACGGCTWTGAACAACATTGTCTAAAACACTGGTTTGCTTACAGACTTACATTTTCTAAGAGCTTCAGAAAGAGCAGATCCAGATATTTCACKGTTAAAGACTGTTAAACTCAAGCTTGGAAAACAATAACAGTGCATTTCACAAAAAGCTACCTAGATACAGCTCCGCCTGATTTTCTCGACGGTTGCTTTGTCGGGCTTTTATAATWTATGTGACGGCACCTAATAGTTTTTTATTTAATTATATCCATTTTGAAATCACAAGTGAATCCTGCAATCCTTCCGCTACGCRGTCGTGCGATTTTTAATCACGCGTCAGTTCAATTACCATTATAAACTATTAAAAACTAGACCTATTTCACAGTTTTGGCATTCTATACCGCGGACCACCACAAGATTTCATTATTCGAACCAAGGACCGCTCGGTCACACTTCTTCATTTTGCGGGGATCCTGTGCTAGAATAGAGGTGTGGAACGCCTGACAGGAATTGTTAGACTTGAGAATGCACGAGGTGTGTATGCTTCTTTTCCATAGAAAGAATTGGCTTTTTTGAAGGATCGCCCTCCATCTAGACCCTAGGTATGATAACATTCCCTTACTTCTAATTTCAAGTCACGAGGGTGTACGTGCGTCCCACCGTGAGTGAGACTAGACTACATTAACGGGTATTTAATAACTATGCACCGTCGAAAGAATTCATCCCTGACCTTCTGCCTTTATAGTTATCGCCACATTTTATAAATGTTTGAGGTCATTCTATAATGCGCTTAGTGTGTGTTCTGAATTAGATTTTCCCGGTAGAAAGGATATTTGAAAAACCCGTGAAAAACCCGGGAACTTAACGTTTGAGTTATATTTCCCCCGGCCCGGAAGTCTTCGGCACATTCATTGTTAATATCTCCGCTACTGTTGCCCCATTTACATGATTAAAAAAAAACGGTAAAGAGGTTCTACTATTGGCTATTTTTAAAGTAATACACCATTTCGGATAATTCGAAATTTTACATTACGTCATTATGGTAAATCATTGACATCACTGGAAAGAGTGTCATAAAATCAGCAAATTTGCCAAGTTTGAAAATAATCTGAGATACGGCACGTCAAAAACACTAAATTTTGCTTGAAATGTTTGGTGAGGTTGTAACAAGTCAAGGTCAACCTCGATCTCATGCCAACAGCCATACACATTTCATGTAAATTTTGGACTTTTAAACGCTAGTATCTCCTTGAATTTTCATTGAATCATGCTCAAACCTGGTAAACATACTAATTTTACACTGTTCTTTCCAGTGGTGGTAATCGTTTTTCGTTATTTGCTCAATTTCTAATAGCTGTGTTATCCGTGAAGTGGGCTATTGGTACTGTCAGCACTTAAAAATTTAATACCTAAATTAATCAT